AGGATCCCGCGTGGGACTGAGGGACGGGGGTTGTGCGCAGGATCGACTCCAGGAGGAATGGGATCCCGAGCAGGATCCGCTCCAGGTGGGGCCGAGGAGTAGGATCCCCACAGGCTCGACTCCAGGTGGGACTGAGGAATGGGGATCCCGCGCAGGATCGACTTCAGGTGAGACTGTAGAATAGGATCCTGAGCAGGATCTACTCCAGATGGGACTGGGGGATAGGATCCCGAGCAGGATCGGGCTTGCTGAGCTGCCCCGATTCCCCCTCAATAGAATTCAGACGTTCTTCTTTATTTCAACTTCTTTCTTTCAGTTAAGTCTCAAAGGTGCTACAAGATCTCTCTACATTCTGATTCTACAGGCTAAGATGGCTATAATGTCTTTGCATAGAATTAAAAGTGAGACTCTGGAGACCAGGGTTGGATTCCCAGCTCGGCCATGAAACCTACTTGAGCAAATCACACTCTCTCAGCCTCAGAGGATGGCAATGACAAACCTCCTCTGAAGAAACATGCCGAGAAAACCCCATGATAGGTTTGCCTTAGGGTTACCTTAAGTTGGAATGACTTGGAGGCACACACATACACACAGAGACTGACTTTTCTGTCATTGCTCTTATCATAAAACTAGAGTTATGTCAATTTTTAATATGTGCAGTTTAATACTTTTTTAATGGGGAGGGTGGGGTCGTGGGGTCTAGTTTGTATTCTTGGTGTAATTTTAATTGTTGTAAGCCACCCTGATTGTTTTAATAGAGGGGCGGGATATAAATTATTATTATTATTATTATTATTATTATTATTATTAGAGTTGGTCAGAGGAGGAGATGGAGCGTGGCCTCTAGTGACAAATGGAAGCCACTGGTAAACCACAAAGCAATTGTTGAATTTTGAATAACAAATAGCACCTTAAAGACTAACAAGTACAATCAGTTCATCCGATAGGGCTATCTCTCTAAAACAGAACACAATGCCTGTTCTCAGCTACAGGTACTTAGGTATCCTTATATAGCTAAGCAAATCCAGCTAATTGTTCCGTATTCACAATCATTTGTTGTCATTAATATATAGAGAGATTTTGTAGCACTATTGAGACTATCTGGAAAAAAATAAGTTTGTAGCATGAGCTTTCGTAGATTTTAGTCTACTTCTTCAGATGCTTATGGTGGAGTGGAAGCCAGGGTCAGACAGGATTGCAGGTTTAACAGAAGAAAACTGAAAAGGAACGTTGGCTACTGCAAAACCAGTCAGCATGAGTAGGACCCATGAGTATGAGCTCTATGTGATACGTAGTTTTACAAGGGCTCCCCTCACCTAGGTCCCCAGGAATGACATCCTATTGCTTGCACTTGTTGAAAAAGCAGATATCTGTCTGTATCTGGGCAGGTTTCACGAAGAGGTTGATGGATTTTCCACTTCATTCATTCAAAATATTAAAATAACTTGTTATTGTGTGCCTTCAGAGGAGGTGTGCCATTGCCATCCTCTGAGGCTGAGAGTATGTGACTTGCCCAGGGTCACCCAGTAGCTTTACATGGCCGAACCAGGATTCAAACCCTGGTCTCCAGAGTCTGAGTCCAACACTCAAACCACTATGCAATGCTGACTCTTAGACCCTTTTACTCAATGGAATTTACTTATGTATTGACTTGTCATTCATTCAACAATTGATTGAATAGGCCTACTCTTCTCAGGATTTACTAACAGGGTTCCAGTTATAGAGTTTCCACTACAGAAGCGAGGCACACAACAGCACTATGGTCAATGGCTGTACAAAACGAAGGAGATCTGTTGCACTTGGCAGAGTAACTCAGATTTAGAATTGAAGGACAGATCTCTTTGTTGTCTTTACAGAACCCAAGCAATGAGCCTTGGAAGTTTAGATAATTCATTCTAATGGAATACAAAGCAATCCTGTGTACCAGGGATGAGAGCCATTCTTTTCAAAGACAGCGCCATAGTGGTCTGCTGTGGCTTTGTGATTCTGACTTACGATGACCCTAAGGAGAACCTATCATGGGGTTTACTTGGCATGGTTTGTTCAGAGGAGGTTTGCCATTGCCTTCCCCAAGGCTGAGAGAGTGTGACATGACCAAGGTCACCCAGTGGGTTTCATGGCCAAGCAGGGACTTGAACCCTGTTCTCCAGAGTCATAGTCCAACACTCAAACCACTATACATGTTAGTCTACTTCATTCTATTTTCTGTGCCATGCTGGTTGGGGAATTTGAGTCCCTTCAAAGTAACTTTCCTGACATCTGATTGTCCATCTAGATTACTGAGCTTTCAGTCCCGTAAAAAATCCTGAAAAGAATCTGCAGGTCTGTTGTTGAGTCTAGCTGAGCATCTGTTGCTTATAAACCCGCTGCTTGGTACGTATGGCTCATGCTGCAGTCATAACATTATAAAGTTGAATCCAGCATGAATGATGGGGTGGCGGGGACTTTCTAAAAATACTTGCATCTCCACCTCAAACAGAAAACGTCCTGTTTCTAAAAATCATCACCGCTCCCCACTCCATATAGTTAATTGGTAACATAACAAATAGAGGCAATGCCAGTCTAACCAGCCACTTGCAAAGCTGTAATGAACTACTGAAGTCTATGAAAGCTCATGCTGCCAATTTCTTTCTTTCATTTAGTCTCAAAAGTGCTACAAGATCTCTCTACGTACTGATCCGACAGACTAAAATAGCCATATCTTTGAATATTTCCACCATTATTATCCCTGGGAAATGTGCATGTATATATCATAAATAAAATAGCAGTGCATAGCTCTTTGGGCATGTTTAGACTAGCAGGTTAAGAATAGCATGTTAATAGTTTTAAGTTGCTCATTATATATGTTTTTTTTTTCTTGAAATCTATATTATGGAGGGAAGAGCATGCTATTGAGTTACCGTCTATAAATACGAATAAGTAATGTCAGAGTAAAGAAGGAGTGGGGAATCTGTGGTCTTCCAGATGTTGCTAAATTCCAGCACCCATAATCTTTAGCATTGCCTGTGCTGTCTGGGGCTGATGGGAGCTGGAGTCTAGTAAACCTTGGAGGGCTGCTTCGAAAGTGATTTTAATGGTTAAATCCTAACTGAGGTTAAATCAGTTAAATCCTAACTGAGGTTGCAGTCCTATGTATACTTATCTGGGAGTAACCTAAATGAACACACGGGAGTTTATTTTTGAGTAAAGACACATAATAATAATAATAATAATAATAATAATAATAATAATAATAATAATAACAACAACAACAACAACAACAATGGGCAAATTTTGCAAGGAGACCTGACATCACACCATTATTATTATTATTATTATTATTATTATTATTATTATTATTATTATTATTATTATCCCACCCCTCTGTGTAACACAACCAGGGCGGCTTACAACATTAAGATATACATTTCATATCCCACAATTCCACCTACCCCTTAAAATACTATTAAACAATTTAAAAAATAATAATAATTTTTTTAAAAAAATACTATTAAACAATGACATAGGTCCATATGTCATAGGATAATATAATATAGTATACTACTGTATATACTTGCATAGTAAATGTAATTGTCCTAGCTCCATCTTAGGGAATTTTGGGATTTGTGGTTTAATTCACAGTTCACATACTGATTGTCTTCAGACCATAATTAGTTGGCTTCAGGATTATAGCTGAATAAAACTGTAACTCCGAAAATGTACATTGTGCCTTTGCATCACAACCAGCAACTGCAGTTTATCCCATGATACTCAGAATTAAAAGAGCAGAGCATCTTTCCTGGGCAAATCTTGCAAGGAGACCTGACCATCACACAACAACAACAACAAACAACAACAACAACAACAATAATAATATATTTCTACTCCACCTTTTGCCGTAGCAATCAAGGCGGCTTACAGCTAAAAACAGACACAAACCCCGACAATTAACAATAATACCCCCCATTAAAAATATATTAAATACAATCTCTGTTAAAACCAATTTAAAACAAACAACAAATTTAAACAAAGACACACAACAAATTGGCTCAATTACACCTTGCTTTTTAAATTCAACCTTTTGGCACCAAAATAAATAAGTCTCCATTGTAGAAATTCCAGTGCATTGCAAAATATAAAAATACCCCGTATCCAAAGAAGTACTTGTGTGTGCAGATGGGAGTGTGTTCTACACAAATACGGAGAGACGGGAAAAACAACAACAACGTGGAACGAAAATGAAATAAAACCAGATAAAATGAAATGTACATTTCTTTTATTTCCTGACCCCAAATTAGTTTCTAATGTCCCTCCCATGGAAGATGTTTGCATTTCTCCTGAATGAAGCCAAGCTACTGACAACTGGAGCATGTTATGTCTGCTTCTCTGTTTCATGGTTCATTAAAAATTGCATGGGCCTTCCCTCCCCATCTCAGTATGTGACATTGGCTGGGACGTAACAGTGATAAAAATCAATAGATATGCTGGATTTATTTTCATTTTTATTTTCATTTACCTTAGCTGTTTTGGTTGCAAGAAGAAATAACAGTATATGGCAAGGAGAGGAAATTTGCGGAGATTATTCTAAATTTAACCAACAATGCCAGCCAAAGGAGACACATTGCATCATTTGCTGATTTAGGATTGCTAGGTGAAAATAAGTACTTGCATGACAAGCAAGACCTGCTGAAATCCCATCTTTTACACAACTTACCCAACTCTGTTGCTCAAGAGACTGGGGCTGCATCTACACTGCAGAAAGAAAGCAGTTTGGCACCACTTTAACTTCCATGGGTCGATGCTATGGAATCCTGGGATTTGTAGTTTAGTGAGATATTTAGCCTTCTCTGGATGTTTTCACACGCGAGTCTCTAGCAACTAGCATCATTCCGGAATGAACGAAAGCAGCATCATTCCGGTATGCTTCTGGTCGTGCAAATGTAATTCCCAATGAAACCGGCATGCAAAAGGACGGGGATGATGCCGCAATGGGACGGGGATGGGAGGGGTTCTTTGTGACGTCGTGTGAACACAGGGGCAAAGGAACCGCAATGGGACGGGGATGGGACGGGGTTCTGTCTGCTTTAGACCCCATGTGATAACGTCCTCTGTCAGAGAGCTTTGGTGCCACTACAAACTACAAATCCCAGGATTCTACACCATTGAGCTATCATAGTTAAAGTGTGGTCAGACTGCATTATTTCTGCAGAGCAAATGCAGCCTAGAGCAGCGACCAGTGGATTCAAATTACAAGAAAAAAGATTCCACCTAAATATTAGGAAGAATGTCTTTATTGTAAAACTGCTTGACAATGGAATAGACTGCTGCCAGATAGTGGTATGAGACCCCCCTTCCCTTCTTTGGAAGACGGATGGACATCTTCCAGGAGTACTGTAGTTGTGTATTTCTGCATGGCCAGGGGTTGGATTAGATGATCCTTGCAGCCCCTTCCAGCTCTAAGGTTTTGTCATTCTTTCAAGGGATAGAAAGTCTGCCACTTTATTTCACTCACCAGCCCTACCCCTTATTTAATAATAATAATAATAATAATAATAATAATAATAATAATAATAATAATAATTTATATCCCACCCCTCTGCTAGGCAATCGGGGCGGCGTACAACAATTCAAAGCATCAAAACAAATAAATCAGAATCAAATCCCATCCCTCCTTCCCTCATCCCCCCCCAAACATACTAAACAAATTAAATAACAGTGATTAAAAATGTACAATTTAAAAATACATGATTTTCAATATCATTGTGGTCCTCCGAGGGCTGCAAGGTGGGAAAAACAGTCCTCCGCCTTAAATTCAATTGATCCAGTGGATCTAGTTGGGAATACCAATTTCATTTTGATTACTATTTATAGTGGTGCAAGTGACAAAATGCCGCAGAATTGGAAGTTTAGTTCTCAGTGGAGTCTTTAAAGCAGATGTGACTCTGAGGGACCAGTGTGCTCAGTCCTGGTACATGAGGGTTAAGCGGTGCTTCCACCTCCCTTGACATCATTGAGAAATACTGGCATTTTTCTCATGCCATCGCTAAAAGCTCATCTTAGCATTCTGGACTTGACCATGCCTGTCTATTTTCACTAACTCACCAAGCAAAACTAACCCAAATAATCAAGTGAGAGCTCAAAGTGTTGGTCTCTTCTTGCTGTTGAAATTCCAAATTCATCACAATAGATGCTAAGAAGTAATGGTTTGTTATGTTCACAGGTAAGACAGATTTGAGTGTACTGTCTACAGGTGAGCTGTCAAATGTGTCAATTGTGGCAGTATGAAAGATCAGTCCATCTTTAGCAAATACCATTACAGGAATATGGACTGTGTCCAAGTTGGTTGATGTTTTGGATGAGCAATGTTTCCTCAAGCATCTCATCTCTTAGTCCTTGTGTGGCTTAGATGCATAGGTTGCTAAGAAAAAATGTCTGGGATTTACTGGAGTCATTACTTCTTGTTCCTGATCTTTGCCTGTGTCACGAGAATTGAAAATGTAAAAGCAGGAAAATCCGCTTCTATCAGGCACAATGAGGATAACTTTCACACTATACGGATTTAAACTTCTCGACTCTGTGCTTCCCAAAGTACTTCAGATTGCTTCCCAATTCTGAGACATCCCTTGTGTGAGATTTTCATCCCGGCCAAAGGGACACCTTTCCCTTCTGCCACTGAAAGTGGATTGAAAGCATTTTTGTTCCTTGAACAGCACAGACTTAGCTTAACCGATTGACATCTGCAGCTTCACCAATACAGGCACGATGCATTATAAGTTTTATTCTTCATTTCTTTCTTTAAAGAATAAAAAGGGATGTTTGGAGGTGGGAAGGGCTGGGGCTGGATGGATTTATGTACAGGAAGAGAGGTAGTTGTGCTATAACTTGCCAGACTTGTTTCTCTACAAGCAACCAGGCGAAGTATTGGTGCGATGGGCTGATATGACTGAGTGGTGTGACTAGCGGTTCGAGAGGTTTTCTGGGTCTTAATCCCACACACACAAAAAAAATCTGGATCAGGTCTCCTGACCATTTTGAGGAGTGGCAGCTGCTGCAAAGGACCTGGAAGGGTGTGCTACATATTTCTATTCTGTAGTTGTATGGGTAGCTCACCCAAAGAGTCAAACTCCCAAGTCAGAGAAATGTGATGTTGTTGGGGAGTTTCCACCATCCCCTCCAAGTGCATTGATATTGTTGTGTGCCTTCAAGAAAT